AAAACAATTATACAAACTTATACATGCAATTCTTAGGAAAATAGGCAGAACGAATAGAAAGATTAGTCACTCCCCAACTTAAGGGAGTAACCCCTCCTATTCTTAAAGCCGTTTTATTTAAACCTCCTCCGGAACTCAATAAAACTAAATTTCATATTGGAGAAGATACTAAAACATTAATGGATCAATTAATATCAAAACTAGCCCAATTGGATATCAAAGGAATCCCCTCTCCAAAGATAAGTATTCTTGTACCAATACCTAGTATTTCTGTACCCTTACCAAGTATTCCAGAATCATCTGACAAAGGTAAATAAAAGATTCCTGAGCATCATATTTTAATGCTCCAAGAAGAAGAACCAATCATTAACGATAATCTGCATAATAGGGAACTCGCTTTTATGGATACAACAACTAATGATCTGAATAGAATAGCCTATGTAAAACCTGGAAACCAATTACAGCTTTACCATATTATAAAAGACCTACACCTGTTGATGTCCAACTAGAAGAAGATGCCATACAACAGGCAGTATCCTACTCAGGTCGATCAATTGTAAACTGGACTATAGATGGCCTATCTGATTTAAAAATATTAGATGTTATGAGACATATGACTATGTTTGCATCAGCTAATAAAATGGCTGGCAATCCTGATCAAGAGGTTGCCAAAGCAATAGTAAATGAGTTTACAGGATGGTTAAGAGGCTAGTGGGATTTTTATGTTGATGACGAAACAAAGAATAGAATCCTAACCAACACTAGACAATGGACAGCCAGAAACGAACAAAATCAAAAAATAATTTATACAGAAAGTGATGCCGTAAACACCTTAATTTATACTATCACTCTACACTTTGTAGGTAGTACAGCTTTATTAGCAGCAAGATCAGAAGATTTGCTGTCAAATCTACGATGTCCTACCCTATCCCATTATAAGTGGTATAAAGACGTATTCTTTTCAAGATTATTGATACGAGAAGATTGCCAATTGGATCATTGGAAAGAAAAGTTTATAGTAGGCCTTCCCTACCTATTTGCTGAAAAGGTCAAAGAAAGACTCCGAAAGAAATATAATGGAGCTATCATATACTCTGCTTATACTCTAGGAGAATTATCAGCAGAAATATGTACTGAATGATTAGCATTATACACAAACTTAAAGCTTAAACGCCAACTCGATAAACAACAAATTACTAAACGAAAAGAGCTTGGTGATTTTTGCGAACAGTTTGGTTATCATATAGATAGAAAAAATAAAACAAAAAAACTATATAAGAAAAAGAAAAAATATAAGAAAGAAAAATATAGGTCTGATAAAGTACATGAAAAATATAAGAAATCCAAACAACAGAAATTTCTAAAAACGTTTTCTAAAAAAGTTTTCTAATATAGAACGACTTTAGGAATAGGAGGGGTTACTCCCTTAGGTTGAGGAGTGACTAATCTTTCTATTCGTTCTGCCTATTTTCCTAAGGATTGCATGTATAAGTTTGTATAATTGTTTTGTTCTACGATATGGGGAATTAATTCATGTTTTTTTCCTATATCTTTGGGTACAACTTTATAAGGTGTTGCAATAATTTCATATAAGGATTGTGGTGGTTCACCTTTTAATGGTGGAGTTTTTACACCCTTTAGTATTATTCTTTTCTCAGGAGGATGAGTACTAGTAGTAGTAGTTCTATCTGTGCTAATATAAGTTTTTTTTTCTATTATTTGAATCAGTGTTTAAAAAAACGTCGAGTCGAACTGGACTCGCCCGGTTCGACTAGGGAATCACCATGGACGGATCGAATCGGCGAAAAAAACGGGAATCATCTGGTTCTAGAGAGAATCAGACGATTCTGTACAGTGACTCGCCGATTCACTATACGGAATCAACGAGTCCGTAGAGTAAATCGGCAAGTCCCGTACGAGTTATTTTTTTTTTTTTTTTTTTTTTTTTTTTTTTTTGTTTGTAATCCATGATAGATTTTTTGTAATACTTGATCGATTTTTTTGTAATCCATGATCGAATTGTTTTTTTTTTTGTAATCCATGATCGAATTTTTGTTTTTTTTTTTTGTAA